AGAATGACTCCTGGATTTCTGCTCTGAGCCACAGCGTGGGAGGTGTTATCATTTGTAGAGCTGATTAAGACAGGCAAAGGACTGGTTTTGTTTGATTATTGTTTCGTTTGTTCTTTTTTTGGGGGAGGGGTTGGCTGGCTGCAGCGAAGTTTGAGAGTATGATTTAAAAGTTAATTTTAGTAAAGCTGTGAGATATTCCAATGCAGATCAAGGAGGAAGTGCATAGTCACGTCTGGACTCCGTAGGTGGCCTAGCTGGTTGGATATATTTGGAGGTTGTCAGCATGTATGAGGCAATTGAAGCCAAAGAAATAGATAGTATCTCACCTAAAGAGTAAATTTAGGAAAGAGACGGGGGCTCAGGATGGAGTCCTGGAGAGCTCTGACATTTGGAGGTCAGTAGGACAAGGGCTGGCACAAAGTCCAAGGAGTAGCCAGGGATGAGACAATCTTCTGGCTTTGTTCAATTCCTTCATCCAACCAATATTTATTCTTTGCCTCCTGTGGACCAAAACTGCTCTAGGTGCTCAGAATATGGTGGTACATAAGCCAGTCAAGGTTTCTGCCTCCATGAAGCTTACATTCTGTTGGAGCGCACACACAACAAACAAGCAGACAAATAAAATAAGATGATTTCCGCAGTGCAGGTGCTGTGAAGACAGACAAATGCTGGGAGTATTATTAGGCCAACTGAATTAGGTTTAAAAAGAGAAAAGGGACATGAACATGCCTCATAACATGTAATTATAATCAAAATGTTTCTCCTTGAGTTGAGTAATGGCAAATACGATTTGGTTTACAACTTCAAAAACAATGGGAGCAGAGACCATACTGGGAAATACCTTCACCAATGGGAAGTGAAGGCGACATCTATGGTGCCAGCTAGCACGGGTGCTCACTCTGTGAGGAGAAGAAAGGAATCCGTCAAGGGCAGTTCAAAGCATTTAGCAGGGCTCTCTGGATTCTAGTAACTCCACAGGATATTTCTACCATATCACAAGCACTGCGGGCTTTTTCAGATCGATGTTAACATGTTTTCTATCAAATATTTTCTAAGAGAAGCAAATATATTTTCTGTGTCATCTACAGTTGTGCTCCATATAATTAAGATGTGTGACAACTGTCTATATGTGTGTGTTCCAAGAAGGCAGTCTGCCAGGCAATGCAAGAAAGAAAATGTCATTGATTCTATACTCTGACCATACCCCTCCTCCCCAATTGACTGTTTCTGTCCCTGCTCCAGGGAAGGCATTCAGTGCACAGGAGAACCTGGAGTTACAGAGAGATGGAGATGTGGCTTTATTTCACTAAAGAGCTAGCAAGAGCTCCTTCACTGGAGCTAATTTGCAAAACTTTTCTAATGACCACGAAGCATGTGCATGCTTTCCAGGTACCTCAAGCTAGGCAAGTACTTTTCTTTCTTTTTTTTTTTTTTTTTAAAGACAGTGCTTGTCATCCCAGAGCCATCTGTGTGAGAGCTGAGTGTAGGGCAATAGAGTTCTTATAGGAAGCCTATCCCAGACCACGACCTGAAAGTAGCTGTGGTTTGAATTCAAATCTGCACCAATTAAAATTATTTCTCCTATCTTCTTCAGAATTGGACCATGATAAACTTATCTGCCATTTAGACCCAATCAACTTCAAATATTTAATTTTCTTTATCTATTAAAAAAGCTTACTAGTTATAACCTATACTTCTTATGGTCTCAGAGGATTCTCACCTTCCTAGAGTAGATAACTAAGGTGTAAGCAATGTTAGTGTTTGTCTGATCCAATATGGTTGCCTATGCAGTAGAATATAAAATTCTATAAAATTACTGCCAAGATATTAAGAAATACCTAGTCCTTATGGGAAATAATTGAACACTGAAAGGTGCCTGGAGCTCATGAGGAAAACACGGATGGGGACATGCTAAGATAAAAAATATTCCAACGAAAGTCAAAGTCATTGACTCCTCTCATCCCTCGTACAAATATTTTCCTCCATGTCAACAGCCTCTCAGGTAACAATGTTGGCTGGAGACTAAGAGACTTAAGTAATGCTAATTTAAGACGTGATTTCTGTGACCTATATGTGTCTTCTATTCAACATACATAGCTTTGAAATAATTTTAAATTATCTAATTGCCTGCCTCCCAGGAGGCTTGTTGGCTTCACAAACAGTATAAATTTTCTCACGTTCCTGAAATCCAAATTGGTCTTTTTCTTTATTAAGTTATCCCAGAAACTCAAAGGAATGTGAACAATGAACTGAAATTCTCAATACCAGATGCTGAAAGTTATCCATTTCACCTAAGACCAAATCTGCATATCCCGGCCAGGGTGGGCGGGGAGAGGAAGGTGTGGGCAGAGCAGGGAATATGAAAGGAATGAAGTTTGCCATCAGCCTTCCTCTTTCCATCTCCCCACGGATGACAGCTCCCAACCAGCTCCTCTGAAAATATGCTGTCATCCTACCCCAACCATGAGAAACCCACGGCCTAGAACTATTTTACATCTCATTCCTCTGGACCCTAAGTTACCAAGTGGTGAATGTTGTCAACTCAACCATGTACTGTAGGAGAGAGAGAAACCCACTACTAAACAAGGACGTTATTTCTAATTGTATTATGACCCACTAACAAACTTCAAGCAAGGTGAGAAAGGGACCATATCAAGCAAAGCAGAACGCTTATGAGCAGCTTAGAATCCAAGCAAGGAATCTACCTTATGCGTGACCGGCTGAGCTGGGAACAAGACCAACAAGCCAGATGCCTCTTAGTAAATCATCTAGGTCACCTCAAAATTACCTATTTAAGTTGATCGATATTCTACAGGGCAGCAGTGATAAAATTACAAACAACTCGATCAATATGTGTAGTTCTCTAACTTCACAGATCAGTCCACAGGATAAACAACAAGGAGTGAGAAGATCTCACTGCCCTACAGTGTCTTCTCCACACTGCCTGAATAGGTCTCTTTCCCTCTGCTCAGGTGTGAAATTCTACCAAATCAAGATTCATTTGGGTTAACAAGCCCATTTTGAAAGGTAAATAACTCTAAGAGAATTAGTTTAACAATTAAGTCCTTTATGGAGAATGCACTGGCTGCTTTAAATTACTTCCCTCCTAAACTCCAGTTGAGATATCCCCAGAGTAATGAGTACTTTAATAGAGACTTAGAAAACATAAGAGTAATTTTGGAATATGAGGAGAAGGGCTTTAGGTACAGACATGCTTAGGTAGAACTTAAACGTGGACGGTCCGAGCAGCCAGAGGCACGATGAAGTGAAGAGCAGGGGTGAGGAACGAGAAGTCTGAAGGCCCTGACCACAACAGATAAACACTTGCAAAATGTGTCCTGGACGGGGCATGCTCCCAGTTTTCCATGTAACATTGCCTCTTAACTACTCAGATAGGAGAAGATAAGGGTCCAACAGTCTCTACTAAAAGAGAAAAGTCAAAAGCTGCCTTAATCGCGTCACACTTCGTAGAAACAGATCATCTTGAAATTCAACTATGTGACTAGAAAAAAAAAAAAACACCTCCATATATCTCTATACTCCAAATTTTGGTAACAGCTAAAAGGAATAAAATCTTTTTCTGATATTTTTCAAAAGCCTTACTGACTTAAAAGAACGTATGTCAAAAGGCACTATCAGTTGATGGCAGTGGGTTGTCAACTGTGGGAGTCAAATGTAGGGCATTGTTTCAGTTCCCTCATGCTTCTGTTTCTCAGACCTTTATTCTAGTCAGCCAACGCTGGGGATGAACATATTTTCACTCAGATACAAACCGCCTTTCCTTGAATATTCTAGGGGTTTGGAGGGCCTCTGGAAAAGTCATAAACAGAGTATAGAGGTGCCTTTAGAAAACCAGTTTTTACCAGACTCCAGAGTCAGATGAAGGTATCTTATATCTTAACTCTATTACTTACTGTCCAGCTCAGATACTTGATGATTTGTAGTTGTGGACACCAAATAGATGATCTATAAACCGCCTGTGGCCAGAGCTGCTCGAAGAATCCCAAACCTGGCTGGAGGGAGCTGCGCGGCAACGCCCCGCAGCGCAGTGACTCGGTGGGTCCCGGAGGACTCCAGGGACCTCTGTTTTTACACCGGCTCTACCCTCCCAGCCTTGACGCGTCACCCCAGGCAGGCTTTTAACTTGTTCCCCCTGTACTTCTTTCCACAGTCTGTGAGTTAATCAGCAGCCCTTGGGAGGAAAACCTAATTTAAATGATTTGTAAACGAAAGTTTTATGGAGTACAATTAATAATAAATAGCAAGGCGTTAAGCCCTTGATAGCGCAAGTGAATCAGTTTCCGAGCCCTTCCATCCTCTGCCAGCGGCAATCGGCTGGCAGTTTTTACAGGATGCTCACATCTGCTGTCGGACCAAACCTTCCCAACCCTGCCCAGCTGGAAAATCTGACGACTTTAAATTAGCACCTGAGCCTCTGACGGAACCTGGACTGGATCCTGACGGAAGAACCAAGCGGCATAAGGAGGCTTTGGAGGATCGGAGATTTAACACCAGCGGGCTCAGAAGAGGCTGTTCTCCAAAGGTCTGAGCTCCGAGCTCAAGGAGGGAGGGTAATTTATACCTTTCTACTTCCGCACACATGGTACTTCAAGCGCCCGCGAGAATGGGGTAGGGAAGAAGAACCAGGAAGTCCCCTAGGACAATGGCCAGGAACTTTTGGCCACCTTGGGTACAAATTTTCCCCTATCAAGCCCATACCCCAAGCCCGCCTAACAGGTAAGGTCTTGAAACTAACTTCCTTTTAGGGCCTGCGGACAGCGGCCCCTTCCTGGCTTCTGTGAACGTTAGCTCCAGAGTCAAGGAGAGCCAGACCCAGCAGCCGACTGGACTCCCCTACCTGTACAAAGCGAGATCTGAAAACAGCTCCAAAGCTGATATTCTAGGGCTGAGGCAGGAATTTAGTGTCCTGGGAAAGCCCTGGAAACACATTGGAAAGCCAGTATGACCTTCAGCATGTGTGCCCAATATAGCAGACTCACCATTCAACCCATGATCTTGACTTAAATCCTAATCCGTGCCAGTCTTTCATCTGCCTTCATGGGTCCCCAGCTTTGGCACTGGGCCCTTGCTGCTTCTAATATCTCTACCTTTTCAGCATGCAGCTCTCTGAGAAGAAAAAAGTGTTAAAAAAAACAAACAAATGAACAAAAACTAGAGCCCACCTAGTTTATCCCACTGAAATCCAGAGCCTTGATTTCCATCAGTCAAGGTTGCTCAATCCAAATGCCCATCTCTATCAATCCGAAAGCTTGTGGTTATTATTTATGGTGTTGTTGCTTTTAACTAAGACTTTGTGAAAGGATGAAAATACTTATTTAAAGGTGTTTTACTCATACTATGAAATGAAAAGTATATGCAATTTATTGTAGAGCTAACTTGAGTATACTCACATGCAATTATTATAGCGGGAGGCATAGGCTTTTCCTATACATAGGCAGTTCCTATATACATAGGCAGTTCCTCTCACTAAAAGGTTAATGAAAATCCTTTGTTAGGGTATTAAAAAGTCATCTCAGTTCTAATCTAGCATGGTTTCTTCTCCTTGCAACATATAGTCCCTGCTAAACCCCTTTTATGGGCCCCATGTTGTGTATATTGGTTCCAGCCTAGGCTGAAACAATGTTTTCTTTTATCACCACACTTATTCATAGTCTCTTCAGGAAAACTGCTCTGAGTTAAATACTGGCTTTAATAATTGCATTTCTAGAAAGCCTTTACTTTCCTCAACATACTCCGAAGAGTATCTGCCACTAAATGGTCCTCGTGTTGTTTCTGTGATGCTACAGTTGGGCATGAATTCTGCATGATGCCTTGAAAAATAGAGACCTGCTGGGATGGACTCACTCACTTTGTGGAAATACAATTTCATCTCTACACCATCATTAATATCCACACCAATTCTCCTTCTGGCTCATTTCAACAATAAAACCAATTCTCCAGCTTCTCCCTGGAAGGAGCTTGTATACACATCCAGCACCCCAACTTTTGTGGCTGCCATCCAACAGACAGAACCCTGTGCCACCTAGCTCTAATAGTGAATGGGGCTCGGCATTCATATCCCACAGGAATACAGTAAGTAAAAAAAAGCAGTTTTCACATATGGGCACACATACTATTTCCTCCTGGCCCAGCACATATGGGTAGCCACACCTTGTCCCATCACCTGTGAATTCTCTGTGAACCTCGGACGTAGGTGTGGTAGACTACTGGTCACTCCTAGGGAGCTCGGTTTTTGACTTTGTAGTTCCTGCCCAAGTTCATTCTTTCCTTGAGGAAGTTCAATGCATGGATTATTAGCCATTAAGGACTTTTAGAAATAGTCCAGATTGTTCAGAATTTAAAAGCAGCTATAGGGCCTCCTGGGTGGCTCAGTCCGTTGAGCATCTGACTCTTGATCTCAGCGTTGTGAGTTCAAGCCCCACATTGTGTTCCATGCTGGGCGTGGAGCCTACTTTAAAAAAAAATTAAAAATAAAATAATAAAATAAAAGCAGCTGTAATCAAAACCTCACAGATGTTTACCTCACTCAAGGTTTCTTTCCTTCTTTTTTTCTGCCCCAGGCTGTTATACCATCTACTCATCTTCTTTTAACCCTTAATCTTCTTATTTGCTCTCCAGCAGAAAAAGACTTTCTCCCCCATGTCTACCCTGCTAGCTTCAGGTGAAAACCACTGACATCATAGCTGTCTACCATCAACGAGTGCATAGTGCCCTCAGCTCTTAGCAATTCTAGCCTCCATGATGCTTGTCCCTGGAGACTTGATTCATCATTCTTGCTTCAGGTCAAAACTGCTCAATTTATAACTCCCTTCCATTCCTCAGGCCTACCTTAACTCTAGCCCTCGGAAACTCCTACCTCTTCCCTCTCTAGTTTGTACTAAATTCATGAAAAGTGTTTTAGATTTCCTGTCCTTCTATCCTAATATTTGCCTGAACTAGAAAGAAAAATAGTCTATACAGTGCCCAGAAAAGGTACACAAAGCGGGGGGGGGGGGGGGGACATTTATAAACAGGTTGTTAGCCTCCTTCAGGAAAAAGCCAGTGAGCCTGGTTGGGTATTTACCATTGATTTGTATCACTTGAGAACTCCCTCCCAAGTTATCATGCCCTCAAGACTCCAGCCATTTGAATTATATCACTTTTTCTGGTTGTTCCTATTCCAGTTTACTATGAAGTTGTCTGAATGGGGCCTGTTTCCATAGCTTTTCCCACACTGAGTAGATCAGCTGACAAAAGTATACCAATTTGCTTGGAAGCTACATTTCTCATTATAAATTTATGCTTTACTCTGGTTTGCTCATCCCTCTCATATGAGTCTGGTTAAGGTAGCTCATCCCCTAGAACATGACTTTCAAAAAAATACAAACATTCAAATTTCTGAACATGAAATATTTTGGCTCCAATCTCAGACTTTTAGAGACTCAGGAAAAAAACTAGGGTTAAATGCTCAATTCCACTATATTCCTGGGAGTTCCTTAACTCACAGCTGGGCCCCTGGGTCCTTTAAGTCTCATTTTTAACTTTAATTACCACAAAATTATACACAGGCACACACAAATGAGTATTCTATTACTTTCATTGGCACTTCCGAATGAAAATGTCTTTGAATTAATCCATTTTGAGTTCTTCATTTATAGCTAGTATTTGCATTTTTTAAGTCCTGGGTTATTTTACTTTGCCAGGAGTTTGATAAAATTGCAAAAGTCTCAGTTTCTTCACAAAGTCTAACATGTCCCCCAAATTTTGAGCCAAGAACTCTTCTGAGGAGCCCATTAACATATTTAGGAGAAATCAATGCAATGTTTCCCACTAGCAAGCATAATATATTTCTTTTTTTTTTTTTTAAAGATTCCATTTATTCACTTGACAGAGATCACAAGTAGATGGAGAGGCAGGCAGAGAGAGAGAGAGGGAAGCAGGCTCCCTGCTGAGCAGAGAGCCCGACGCGGGACTCGATCCCAGGACCCTGAGATCACGACCCGAGCCGAAGGCAGTGGCCCAACCCACTGAGCCACCAAGGCGCCCCAAGCATAATATATTTCTAATTATCTTTTTTTTCTTAAATCTCCTGTCTTTCTCTTCAAGACATCACAAATTAAGTTAGATTGACCTATCTCAGCAGGCATCATTATATTTGGCTTTTCCTTCCTAGCTGTGGATTGTTTTTCTGATCCTACTACATTTATTGATTTCTTTCCACAAAGAGTCTTCTGGTGAACTTTAGTTCATAAACATTTGAGCCCTTTGTTGAATTTTAGGAATTACCAAAACTGGAGATTGTTATGCTTGTATAATTCCTGTTTGACTATTACAACCTTGACTCTATTTTTAAATACTTCATTTTTGTCCCTCCTCTCTGTTCTTGTAGCTCTAGTCTGCTCTGTGCAGTAAAAGGCAGGCAATAGGCATCAGAGTCGTAAACTTTCCTTGAGAGAGAAACAGCAACAGGTATGGTATGATGCCTGAACCATTTTCTCCTAGGATACACATACACCCCCACACACAATGGAAGGGAAAATGTAGTAGAGAAGTCCCTGAAGGTAGCCCCACTCCCATCCAGATTTTAAGAAGGCTGTTTTTACCATCACTGTGTAGACTACATCAAGTTCTCTCAAATTGTCTCTGATGCAATCTCCATAATGCCAGAGTGATCTTTTTCAAAGCACAGCTCTGGCCTTGCAATACAATGATGACTCAACTCCTGACTCCCCTTTCTATACAGAGTGAAACTCTCAGATAAGCACAAGCTCTTCCATATCTAGCCTCTCCCTTTCTCAAGGCCCCTTCCTTTCTCAGGAGCCCCTTCTCCCAGGGTCTACTACCACATATATTCAAACACCACCAAGCTACTTGAGTTCCCAAATGGGCCTATGCCTTGCATTTATTGTTCCCTATAAATACAACTCCCCTTCCCTTATTTCATCCCAAAAACGTACTCATTTTTAAATATCAGATACTCATTTTAAAGTATATTTTTCCCAACCATTAACAGTCTCTGTTCAATTCCCCCAGTGATCAAAAGCATTCATTACTCAGGTCCTTGGCAAAGATTATGAATGGGGTCAAGCAGCAAAGCATGTCCAAGTGGTCTAGGTGACCCATGATCCAGTCCTAACCCTATGTTGTCAGCAGCAGAGCAGTGTGATGCACGATGGTCGACACACTAACATCTCTCTCACATGCACACGCACGTACTTTCCAGGCACAGGGTCCAGATTGGGGTCTAGATATAAGGAGGATCAAGAATAAAGGGTGACTTTTTGGAACTCCCTTCAAGCAGTCAGAAATTTTGCCCAAAATCTTTGGCCTTGCCCCACTCTCAGTTAGATTCGAGCTTGACTATAATCTTTTTAAAACCTATTTATTGTCTTTAAAATTACTGAACAGTAATAGGATCTCTGGGAGGAAAGACAGTGTTGTTTCCATCTTTGACTCTGACAGAACTAATAGTATGCTTGTGTATTATGTTCCAGGTACATTTACTGACAAAACACATGATATATCTCATTACCACTTTCATAGTTGAGCAGTGCCATTGATATTTATGCTGCTAAGTGTAATGCAGACATTCTGATAAATACTATTAACTGGAAGAGAACACCAACAAAGACTAAACTAAACTCAATTATTTTTTCTTTACTATTTCAAATGTATTTTTGTCCATGGGCATTTAGCATAACTTATTCAGTATTTATTATATCACTTAAGAGTTTATTAAATTACGTAGGCTTTCCTTATGTATTCATGGCATTTTACCCCAGAATGGGGTATTGTCAAAACATTTTCTTTTTCTTTTTACTAAAAATTGTCAGATTTAAATGACTTGATTGCCAAAATTACTTGCCTAAGTATTTTAAATTATTTGGAGACGCTAAATATAAATTAGTCAAGTAAATAAAATTAGCTATTGTATTACAAAGGCAGTTTTTGCAAATCCCCAGGTGGAATATGTCCGACTTGTAGAAACTGATATTTATAAAACAACTCCCTGATCCACTGAAATATACGTAATTGAATTAGATAGATTGAAGGGTCAGTTGTGAAAACAGAGGAATTTCTCTAGGCATTTCAAAGAAGAAGGAATTTAATACAGGGAAATAGTGCTTATAGAACTGATGGAAGGGCTGAGGGGAAAAGACTGTTGGGTTTTAGGAAATTAGGAAGCTGTGGACAATTAAGGGTATTGCCATGGATGAATTCAGCTGACAGTAGAAGTGAAGATGAGATCTGCCACCTGCCCACCATCGTCAGGTACTAAAAATGGCCTCTCTTCCAATTTCCAAATATCATGCACATGCTTCATTGTCAGAATCCAATCTAGAACCCTGTGACACAGGACTTATTATTTTTATTTTTTTAAGATTTTATCTATTTGACAGAGAGAGAGATCACAAGTAGGCAGAGAGGCAGGCAGAGAGAGAGGGGGAAGCAGGCTCCCTGCTGAGCAGAGATCCTGCGGGCTCAATCCCAGGACCCTGGAACCATGACCTGAGCCAAAGGCAGAGGCTTTAACCCACTAAGCCATCCAGGAACCCCAGGACTTATTATTATTCATGGCAAAAGGACCAGAAACAAATGCATAACTTGTCCTCTGAGCAAGTCTGAGAAAGCATTGACTAAAAAAATACCTTTTTTGTTGTTGTTTGTGTTTGCTCTTTAATGTACAGACATAGTGGGGGTGTTTTTGTTTTTGTTTTATAGCTACAAATTCTTTGATACTTCTCTCATCAAGAGATGTGGTCTCTGTCCTCTGCCTCCCCTAGATTCATATAGCACTTAAAGCTGCTCAGAAGACAGAATATAAAAGAAGTAAATATATGTGACTTGTGCGGCTGGGTAGTAAAGCCAGGAGCTTCTGCCTGGTTCTCTCGGAATGCTGGGCCTCAAGGCTCTCCCTCTAAGAACCCAGCCACAGTGCTGAGAGAAGCTATAAAGACAGTCCCAGCCAAGCCCAGCTTTGAGTCACCCCTGCCTAAATATCAGGTAACAACAAGTAACAAAGCCTCTAGATGCTTGTCCCCATGGTTCCACTAACCCCCGGCGAGCATGAAGACTGACATACTGCACAGCAGAGACGGGCCATCCTGTGTTCTCGTCTGAATTTCTGGCCCACAGAATCTGTAAGCTTTATAAAATAGCTGCTTTACACTACTAAGTTTGGGGTAATTTATTGCTCAGCAGTAGTTACTTGAACAACTTGTGGAAACATGAGAAGTAAGAAAAGCTAATGAAGTGGATGGAGACTTAGAGACTGTGGTACGCAAGTTGAGTATGCAAATCTGAAAAGTTGCCCCAGTAGACTACCAGGTGAGATTTATCCACAAGGCCATGCAATTTGGCTTACAATCATCTGCTATA